GCAGAACCTCTGATCCTTTCATTGTCTGGATACAAAAGGTTTCATAAAAACTGGCCACAGAAAGACTTCACCTGCACATGCCTCATGTGGTTGTCTGTTGATTTAGTGACATGCACTAACCTCCTGAGCAAAAAAGTAAAATAAAGAAGCTTAATGGTTTCTAAGACCTTAAGTGAAGAGCATCAGAGTACCTTGCAATTTCATATAGGGTCAACTCAACCCTTAGCAACTCCTCCCAGGTACTGGTCTTAATACTGCCCCAATCTGTCAGCACTAGCATTTGCATGAAGAAAAACTGGAGTCATCAGACACAGGCAGGCTAACACAATGGCTGCTGTTCCGCCTTTTTCACTCTGAAAATGCTAATCCTGGCATGGTGGACTGTTGATGTGGTTTTCCAGGCTCCTGCAAGCTATGCCATTGTACTGAAGCAATCACTTGTGCCTTTGCCTAAAAACGAGAACAATCAGAGCTGGAAAGTCTTTTAGGCCATTATGCTGGTCTCCTTCGCACATCCACATCAACTAACACCCAACCTCCCTCCAAAAAAACCCCCTCAATTCGGAGAGCAAACTTCAGCCTACTCTTCCTCGTATATGCAACAACAAGTTACCTCGACCCACTGCTATTCCTTCTCAAGGATGTCTACTTTTGCTGTTTGTAAGAAGCATTCAGCTAGAAATAAGAATCTTTTTCTATCTCAGACATACGAGATTTTAAAAGCTGTAATTCCCCAGAGTTACAGCAGAAACCAATCACTTCCCATTTTGCTTTTGCTCAAAAGCTACTTCAGTACATAGATGGTACAAAGGTCTCTGCCCTTGGATAAGGACCTGTTGACTAAACAACACTACCTGCTTGTGCCTGCTTGTAACATCTTATTTTCTTCTGCCCTTCTTATTGAAAGGCAGTCTCCTCAGACTGAGTATGTAGGACCAGACATCAGTGATGCTTTCTTTTGTCCAGCTTTGTCTTTACAACATTCTTTGGGGTTTTTTTACCTATTTTTTCACTGTTCCACCATTTAAGTGACTTTGTCCTCTTAATTTCTGTATTACTGCCAAGGTTCCAAACTGAGTATATGATATTTTTCTCTTCTGGATAGTAGGTTCAGAAATGTTATTAAAGAAGTGCACGTCCATTAGCTTATTTACTCCTCTCTAGCACCAATATCCTCTGTTTTTCTTGGACAAATTTTAGAGCCATGTTTAACACAGATTTACTGGGGGCTGTGATGCTTTTAGTCCTTTCACCTCATTGGTACCAGAGAGTGTGACGTATACTCTAACATCACATGATGTAATTCCAGCAGCACAACAGCCACTCACAGCCAGACTGGGTGGGTTTGTCCTGAATATCTCTGGCTCTCTTTCAGTGATATTGACTGCAAGTCCAACTGAGCATTTACAAATCGGTCAATTCCTGCTTTATCTTAAAAGTCCTCATGGGTATCTGGCTATGCCAGAATTGCAAATCTTTTGATCTCTTTCTGCCAACACTGACTGATGCTGGCTCTGACCCCTGTCTCAATATCTATCAACAATTCGGATTCCTTTTAGGACAAGTTTTGCAGCAGCAACATAAGGATGCTCATGTTGGCTATTGGCAAGCCCCCACCTTCGTCATCTTCCCAGCCATTTGTTTAAAGTATGGAGCCTAATGAGCCTCCCAGGGAGTTCATCCTTCCAAGACAATTGGCTCATACTTGAGTTTATTGCGCTGTGACAATCTGAGCACAACCCACTGGGTTTTTCTAGCTTACAAATGGAGTAGAAGAGTCTTGTAAGTGTCTAATCCTATCAAATCCACTGGCAAGTATAAGTTCATATCCCCAGTGCTGGCTATCATATGTGATCCTCCTGTTTGTTTCTTATGGTAGTAACTCAGGTACTTAAATGCCAGCGTTTATCTGTAAGCAAGTTCCAAGCTGATCAAAGCTTTCCAGGACATTCCCTTTCTTGGAAAACATTCTTGTTTACAGCACCTCAGTTGCTAGTCATCTTAATTCCTTACTTCCTAATTTGGCTGAGTATTTTGCATTTGTGTCTCAGAACTGATGCATTCTTTACAAACCATTTCTAGGAAATAACGAGGTGTTGCTCTAGTTCTTTTTCTGCTTACCATCTTGTTTCAATCCATTTCTGAAATCTCCAGGTTTGGCTTTGAATCCGTTTAAAAATTATTAAGTTTGCCATGGAGGCCTGTGAGCTGCTTATCTGTATCCTTTTAGTACAACGGGAATGCTAATGTGCCGTTTGGAAACTGGACCATACTCCTGACACCAGGTAGGTTTTTCTGCTGTTTGTGATTACTAAGGTTCACACCAGAAAGTTGTTGCGAAGGAAAAAACAGTGATAAAATCAGGGAGCACTGATACAATCTTCCTTCTATGGAAAGCACAGTAATAACAATAAACCTCTTCCCCCTAAACACAGGAGAAATCAAATAGTGGGAGACAGAGAACGCTCTGTGCTTCTTCCACCCAGCCTGCAGCCCACAGGGTGGCATGAGCAGAGCTTCTGCACCCTCTCTTCTTGCTGCTTTCACCCTTAGATGGTGGATGCACAATGCTGATTTTATATGTTGCTGTCTTCCCAAGTGCTTGAGCATTTTTTCCTTCCCTGATGCTGCTGCCACAGCACAGCAACTTGTGGAGCTATGCTGGAAATTAGATCAGGCAGCTGGGCTAGGTTAAAAACAACCCTTCTAAAAATCTGTTTTTAAAAGGTATTGGATTACTTCTCACATCTGTTTCACAAAAAGTAACGTTGGCATAACTGAGGGGCCAGAAAACATCAGGGTAAGGGTGGGACTGAGAGGCCCCAGCAGCGTACACCTACGCCAATACTGTTGTAGAGACCTTGACGGCATTGGACCATAGTCTCTGGTCCACTCACTGTCCTGCTGCTTCTCCCCTGCATTGGCAACAACAGCTAGTAAATCCCTTTTGACTCTGTCCTTTATGAGACTTTTTTTTGGATGGAGATATGTATCTTTGGGGACAATGCTCTCAATTTTTCCAGCTACCTAGTTACAACAAGGGACCTTAATAACATCTTATAAAGACCTGAAATAACAGATAATACAATTGATGAGTAACCTAAATCATAATACTACCATACGGGCTTAAATTTTGGGAATGTCTTTCATGTTTAGAGCTCTGCTAGTTAAAGGCTCCAAGATGTTCTTGTTTCTCCTTCAAAACGTTCATATTTAGTAGAAAGCATTCTTCTTAAAGGAAGCTAGACAGTTCCTTCCCTATTTAAATTTCACATGAAACACTTTATTTCACTCACTCAATGAATTTGCCTTGGGCAACTGAATCACAGCTGACAGCAAATTAATGACTATGATGGTGCGATTAGTAGAGATTACAGGCGACTGAGAACCTGCCCAAGCATTTGCCGTTGTCACAATACTTATGCCAGCTATTATTAGGGGTTAATAATGGTCATAAAGAGGACTTGATTCCACCAGGTAGACCCTTTAAAAACTGTTAGTGTTTTAATATGTCACCGGTATTCTGATTAAATGGTGAAAATTACTTTTATCTAACCATTTTTTTTAATATTCTTTCTAGATGCTTACATTACTGATTTATTAAAATATTACTAGAAAAATAGTTTCTATTACATTTAAGGAAGAAGTACCATAAACAAACACACTTGACAGATAAATTTAATATTATATTACACATGGGGAGTCAAAACAGAACTTAAGCTCTGAGACTCTTGTGCTGTGAGATATCACACCAAAACCCAACTGGGAAGAAATAATGATTTCACTAATCCCTAGCAATGATTTTTTGAGGAGTTCAAATAAAAGTTTGCTTGTTCTGATTGAGATTCACTAAGTAGATGTTATTTGATTTTTCTGCTTCCTGGGGGAAGAACTTCAGATTCCCCAGGCTGCTAGAAGAAAAGAACAATGGGCTGAACTTGCAATAGAGCATCTTAGCTGCTAAAGACACGATAAAAGTGAACACACTGCATATTTGCCAAAGCTTTTGCCACTCATTTCATTTCCAAATGTCAACCAGTTATATGAAACCTTTAAAAAGGTTTCTTAAGGTAAAGCAAACAGAAGGATAGGATATTCTTAATCTTGTATTAAAGATATTTATTTATAATCACTCTTATTTAAAATACAGTAACTTGAACTTATGCAAAGACTCAGCACTGTTTAATAATAAAAAGAACCATCTGCTTCTTATGCCTGTCCCTACAAATATTTTGTTACTGGATGATAGTGGAAAATATGAAAAGCTAATGACTAGCCAACAAGAAGACTATTTAGATATTGAAATGAAAATCTAATGAGGAGCAACATCACCAATCACATGTTATCATTTTGGGAAGCTTCACATAATGATTTTCCAGTGACTCAGAAACACATCCACCCTTGTCACTGGAGAGTACAATGCATTAACAGTAAAGGGAGATTTGTGGTATAGAGCACAATTTCTTATAATTGCAATACTTACAATGTCAAATATCAAAGAGCAAGTAATAGAAATTATATTCATTTTCAAAGTTGTAGCCTAATCTTACAAACACTCAAGCACACACCCAAGTATCTGGAAGACTGACCCCTAAGGCATGAGATACAAGGCCAATTAATTCTTCAAATTAGGGGGGAAAAAAGCAATTAAGCTTCCAACCATTTTTAATTTTGGAAAGGCTTGCTTTAAAGTGTTAAAACTACAAAAGCAAAGCATCTGAGTTACAGTCTCTACTGCACAAAGAGGGAACATGTTTAATAAGCCTCCTGGACTTGTATGTAGCCACCCACTGCAGAATTCTGCTTTCACATTTCACGTGTGTAGCCTAACCCCAGTAAAGCCTGTGACATTACAGAGGTATAAAATAAAATATTCTTTGGTGCTGATTTTTTAAGAAGTATTCCCACTCTTATTTTTCTCAGAGGAGCCTGCTATCAGCTGTGCAAATACCATGTCTGTAATAACAGAAAGAGAGGCTGCAGTGTGCCAGTGATCTTACCTCATACTCAAAGTCCTCTGCTCTATCTGCATCAGCAGGCAGGCTGGAAAGATACTCATTACCTTCATAAAATTCATGCTCCACTGGGTGAAGAGAATGGCAGCTATGTGGAACAAAGCGGTACAACAACAGTAGATGAGACAATAGTTTTTTTTAAATTAAAAGGCGATAAAAACCCCCATTTCTCTGTAGTTTTCTCATCTCTGGAATGCTACTCCGAATGACCTGACAGCCTGAAAGGAACTGTACCAAGAAGTAGCACGGGCTGTTTTCTTTTCAAAAGCTCATACTCCGGCTGAGTTCACTTTGCTGGGTTCATCTTTTGTCAGATTTACACAGGGTGATTTCTTAAAAGGGTGTGTTTTGGGCCAAACTACTTAATTGTGACAATTTGGGATTCCTTATGTTCATAAAGGTACCTAACTCCAGATTCACATGCTGCATCATGGCCGGGGCAACTCACTAATTATCTGGTTATAAAGTCTTGAATGTCCACAATCTACAACCCACACCAGGCTCACAAACTGTTCAAGAACTCGCATAAAACAACTTGCATTATCCTCTTCTGTTAAAGTGGTAACAGGGTGGTGAAGTGCATTTGAGTAACTGCACACTTAAAATGTTAGTAAGCTGCACTGTTAAATGGACTTAGAGCACGAAGAATGAGGTCTTTACAATGTGCACTTAGGTACAGCCTTAGACCCAAAGCTGGATCCCAACCACACAGCACCCAGTGTGGATCTACCTTAGCAGAGGCAGGAAACTTTTCCCCATGCTGAGGGCATGGGAACTTCAATCACAGTGGCAAACAGTTTAGTAATATCCAGTAACAACTCAAAAATGTACACATACCATGTTCCTAGCTGTGCAGCAGTAAGTGGTAGGCTCAATCTAGCATTTGGCTGGCAAATTCTCTCTGAGATAACCATCTACCCAGCTTACATAGAACTTCGAAAAATGGAGCTACATCAAAGTCAAAAGTGGTATTTCTCCATTAGCATCATTTCTGCAGAGATGCACGGCATGCCAGGAAGTCAGTGGAAAAGCTCTAGGGCTATCATTGTTTTGCTGGCTACAGACAGAGGGCAAGGGTCAACCACTAGATGATGTTACTCATGAGGTGGAGTCCAAAGAGGAAGAAGCCTACACCCTATTTTTGTATAAGCAACACCTGCTGGTGTTTGCATTCAATTCCGTTTCAAAGAATTCAACTGAGGGATAATTTAATTCATATCATTTGCCATATGACAGGTGAAATTGTACTTTTGATCTCTATATTTTTGGAATTGTTTTGCTTTTGATGAGGGAACCTTTAAATTAAATAATTTGTTTCCTTGATTTTTTGGTAAGAAACCGTCACTGAAGCCTGAATGGGACAGTGGTTATCAACAACATTTTATTTAAAGTGTTCCTCAGAACACTCCTTTTTCAAGAGAAGGCTACAAGCCTACCACTGCAATGCCTCAACCCCACAGGTAAACAGCAGGAGAAGATAAACCATACCTGTCTGAAAGTAGAAAAGGGCAGATATCAGGAACTGGCGGTGTGGAAGGCCTTAGTTTGGCCAGGGCCATAATGTGCTCAAAAGTGATGTCGGTCTGAGTGCTGGCATCCACAAGCCGAACATCCTGGGAGCTACCATGAGCTTTGCTAACTGGGGCTCGTCGTAAAACTTGAACTACAATTGGCTCCTTGGCATTGCGAAAAGCTTCCACTGCCTCTTCGTGAGTGGCCTTGGAGAGGTCCTTCCCATTGACCTAGAGAAAAACAGAAAAATATACCAAAGGTTACTCACAAGAGAAAAGGCAGCATAAAAATTTAGGTGTAAAATATAGGGGGATGAATTATTTGTGTAGTACATCAAGCCACGTGCTGACATTGACTGGACCATATTTTGGCATCCATGAAAGAGGGAAGATAAAGCTGGAAGGAGAAAAAAATCTTTAATCTTTGCTAGAAATCAGAAATGGTTTGAACTCTTCCATAACTGTCCCAATGGAATCTGAACACAACAAAGAAACTACAGTATTTAAAAAGGGCATATAAAGTTATTTCTCTCATGCTATTTTATTCACCTCATAAAATACAAATAAAAAAGGAGGGGTGCTTTTAATTGTCAATTTCAGCATTTTCTGTGGCATGCAACTGTTCTAAAGGATTTCTGGCACAGCATTGTTATTAATGCAGATGTCAATAAACATGTCTCTGATGTCTACAAAGAAACAAGGCCAATTTTTGATGTTTTGTCACTTATCTGCTATGGCCATTATACAATCATTAAGACCAAAGACAGGAAGATTTGATTAACACAGTCAGCTGCTGTTCTTTTAAGGAAAGAGAAATCTAAGTCAAACAAACCAAAGAAATAATTTGCTACAAACAGTTGAATAATAAACCAGAGAAAATTATGCTACAAATGCAGCATAGCTTGGCAAAACTGAAAGATTGTGGCAAGGCTCTCTCTGCTACAGGCAAAGCAGCAAATTCCTCCCAGTCTAGATGAGGCCTTAGGGTATTAAGGAAGGTAACTGCAAGGCTGGGTGATGATAAATTCACATGAATTGAGGTGTTTAGGGCAAAATTCCCAAGTAACAGCCCACTACAAAATATGAGGGCTAATTAGTCAACAGCAGTCAGTAGCTAAGCCCTTGGACACAGGGGCTGTGCAACATCCTTACACAGAAAATACCATTCTGCTGTTTCCAGAGCAATGGGACTGCTGTTGACTGCTGCACAGGACCTAACTGTTGTGAGCTACTGTGCAGATGAGATGATCCTGTCCTGGATCATCTAGGTAAGGTAGGGTTTTCTAGTAAGAAATGTGAATATCTGAAGGGTACCAAAACCTGATTAACATTTATATCCCTAGGAATGCACTGGCAGCAAATCAGAAATAGGATTCTACTCCAAGTTCATGTCCAAATTAACTTACTTGTATAGACAATGAAGTCGTAAAACTTCCACTAAATGAACTAAGTCTAAATCCTCCCCAGAAATGGGGCAGACCCCATAACTGACTTTTCCCCAATGCCTGCAAATACTGGTTGAACCCAAAATTTCTTTGCTAAATTCACTCTTTCATTTGAGAAATTCTTGGAACTTTCTTGTCAAAAAAGAAAAACATGCTAACAAGAACAATGCCAGCAAACTCAAAAGAGCCATTCAGCAGCCCTCAGTAACATTTTTAAGCCTGTCAGGAGAAGCATTTGCAATTAAAAATGTCATATTTGAGCCAACACATGTAACCATAGTCCTGTCTATTTATGTGGATGGCTATGATACCGTTGACCATTAATTACATGTATGTATCAACTCAATACATTTCCAGAGTATGTGCTTGAGTACAAGATAGAACCAGCTTTCCTCTGACACAACTCCCAAAGAAGCAGCGCTTTCACAGCCATGTTACTCACGAGGACATGCAAAATAACCACAGTGTAGTGTAGCCACCAACGCAAAGGTCAATTGATCCTTCTAGCTAGCCCTGATGCTGTATGTGGTGATGAGAAGGCTAGAAATTATCTGAACAGACTTCTGTAAATAAAAAAGCTCAAAACTCCCTGTGCTGAATGCCTGGGATCCCCAGAAGTACCATACCACTGCAGCCTAGACTGTGATCAAGTAATATGAACAGCAGCTAGGTTGGTCACCTAAGTTTAATGCATACGTATGGTTTCTCTGATGACTGAAGCCAAAAATGTTAAGATTTTATGTTAATAAGATTTTACCGTTTAAATTATCATCCATCAAATTATGAACTTGGGTTACGTTAATCTAAGTTACATGGAAAAATATCAGTGGTATATAAGAGGAAGGGCCAGAACAGTCTTATAACAAGTTATGTTATAAGAAAATAAAATAAATTTCCCCAAGGAGTGAGCTTCTGCAAACCCTCTCCAATAGCACAAGTTACACTGCCAGGGTGTTCAGACTCAGCCCTGTCTAATAGAGGCAATTAGAGATAAAGCTTCAAGCCTGAGTCTTCTAGTCACTCTTCCAGCCTCTGCTTCATTCTTGCTTCTAACTCAGATCCTATCAAGGATACAGTTTTCCACAGTTTCTGCTTTTTGTAACAGGAGTGTCCTATAGGCCCTCTGAGTAACTCTCATTCCTAAGGCCCTAGGAACAGAAAAATTACTTTCCTGCCTCCCAAAACTCTTTTAATACTTTTTACATTTCGGATAACTATATGGTGTTTCTCCTAAAAGCAAATGCTTGGGAAGAAATACCACATAGCACTGTATCAATTTTTTCCCCTATTCAAGTATAAAACACACAATCCTTCTGTAACCCAGCTGAACCACATGGTTTTTGGCACAAGCCGACCGTTTTATCACAGATCCGCATCAGCAAAGCAAAAAGATATTTGGATAGCACACAAAATACATTATTAGATTTTTTTGGAAAACCAGAAACTCTGTTTATTCACATCAGTCAATACTTATCACTTACTCTGAGGAAACAGACATAAATTCACAACAATGCCATTTACATGCACATTTTATTTCTAAAGAATAATATTTTAAAATCACATGAGTGTGAAAAATCACAAAAGATACACATTTGCATTTATCCTGGGAACCTGTGGCTGACCTCTATTTTCATTTAAATGCCTATTTAATTTAAAGACTTTAAAAACATTCCATCCTTTATGTTGCTTTCTTATGAAATACAAGCACTTTGGACACCCAATACTTGTTTAAATTGTCACTTGGAAGTTCATCAACACACTTTGTTGATCTGCATAAAGGTCACCTAATTTATGAATGCTGTCTTTCTCAGAAGAAAATCTATAGCTGAATTACTCTATGCTGGCAGCTGTCCTACCCACTTGGGGATGGGAAGAGAGAATTTATTTTAAAACCTAAAGCCAATATTACAGATGGGGTTGGAAGCTCTCTTCACGAAGCTTCTTTAAGGGTTTTCTGCATCCTGTGTTATCCCCCAACTTAACACTCACATATAGTTACCCTGGGAGCCGTAGACAGTCGAGCACTTATTTACAGCAAGCCACTTACAGGTTCTTAGTGGATGATTAAATAAATTCCTTCCCTCTGAAAGGTTACTTTCAGTGGAATCCAGGGTACTATTTTAAGTCGATAGAGAAATCAGTCACTTTTAACAGTCAACACAAAGACATGGGAATACATTTGTTGTAGCAGATGGGCTAATTAATCCACAAGCAAGTTGTGAATGTTAAGTAAAGAATATATCTTTTCTCATGTAAACCATCCTCCTGCCCTGTTTGATTAAGCTTCTGTTTAATGAACACTCTCCCCCTCATTTTGGACACACTGCAAAGTCTGGGCCACTTGTCAACATCTCCCCTAGAGTGACTGGTGGCCACTGCCTGGATCCTGGCCATCCCCTTTGGATTCTTGCTCTAAATCCAGCCACACGCAAAACTTCATTAGTGTCAGAAAATAAACAGGCAAACAGGCTTTGCCTTTCATGTGCAAATCAACCGACATTGGCCAACTGCCACTTCTAATGCCAGCACCGCTGTACATAGGCTTATTCCCACTCACACAGAGGTGGACAGCAGAGAAGGAAGGAGGGACAGGACTAAATAACAAAACAGTGACTATAAAAAAATGTAGGCAAATGATTGTTAGGTTATCCTTGTGCTTTGAGTTCTAAAAAAAAAAAAGAAAAATCAGTCCTTTGATGAAGACTGCTTCCAGGATTTAAGTGCCTGTGTGACTGAGAAATGAAATAGCCTTGTCTTCTAACTTTTTTCTGTTGTTGATAATTTCTTTTAGCTCTGGCCAGAATTTTTGATTCAAGAGGGCCAGAAATGTTGATATGTTTCCTGTAGTCTTTACTTCCCCCATATTAAGAGAAAAAGGAAAAAAGGAAAAAGAGAAAAGGGGAAAAAAATGAAAAAAGATGTGTAGTCATCTGAATGCAACCATCACAGAAGGTGTCACATTAGCAGTTCATGAGATAACCTCCTGTCCTCAGCAAATACCTGGTATATGCAAGTTAAAATTTAAGATCAGGTCTGCTGAAGTAAAATCCTTGGAGACCCTCCGTTTAATCAGTAAGGGCAAAGGGAAGAATAACTGGAGTGTTCTGCTAGAACAGAGATGTCCAAACACAAAGGTTTCCCAGTGAAATGACAGAGATGCTGTCTGACGTGATGATGGAGTTCACACAAGGCTCACTGTCCTAGGAGATTTCAACACCCATGCAGAAGATGCCTCTGACCTGACAGGTGCTAAATCTGCTCTCATCACAGCAGTCTCTTCACCTCCAATCCCTTGCCCTAAATACATCCAGGCTACCACACCCCAGGTGCATCCTTGGATGGCAAACTGCAAAAAGGATCGAACACTGTCCCTTAGTTTGACCAGTCCTTCTTTAGGACAGGAATTTGAGCCCTAACTACAAGCCACAGAAAAAGAACAAAAACATACCACCTTCCTCCCAGACTTGCAGCTTTCGGCACGTACAGCCTCTAGAAAACTTCCAGCGGTGAGTGCCACCAGCTGTGAGGCTCCCTGGGCAGGACAGGGGGGCATAGGACATGTGAGCTACCAGCGACACACGTCCTGGAGAGGACACTGCAACTCTTCTGCTAACGCAAATGTGATAGCTCATCTATGGAAAGGGCATTCGACACACTGACCTTTTAGGTTACAGTTCAGTACTAAGCTGCATTTCTTGAGCAAGTTAATCTGAAAGGTAGCAAATTCAGCCATTATCCAATACCACTATCTCAGTCAGGGTTCATGCAAGTTCAGTAAAGGGACAA